TAGACCACAAATCAATAAAGACCACACAAAAATTCTATAAATAATCATTCCTTTATTTTTTTTTTTTACAAATTATTCTCTTATCTTTACACGTATAAACCATGAATGGCAGATTAGCGACAGAATTACCCCTTCAAAATGAATGAGGTTATAAACTCTTATTTTCCAACTAGCAAGACATAAACAGTGTATTGACATGTTTGTTGGCTTCGTTCATCTTTCCAAACATCTTGGATTCTAGGAAGATATAGTTCTTTGCTTTATTATGATACTGAATGTTAAAAACATAGAAGGTGCCCAGTAGAAGGGCTAGAGCCAATGGCCTTCGCAATTCTTCTCAGCGCTCTGAGACTTCTTGTATAGAGCGTTAAATAAAAACTTGCATATTATTATTATTATTATTATTCTCCTCCCCTCGGCAGCGAGTGGGATGACTTCTTTGAGGTTGCCTGACTTCAGCCATGGAAAAATCAACTTCTGGATAATTTCGTCAATGGATTCATTCTCCTAAATGAAAATAAAAATTAATAACAAAAAATTAACAAAACAGATACAGATTTTAAACTGAAAAAACCCCAAAAAAAACACAAGCAAATTATTTACATGGACCATGTATGGGATTTATGGGCATGACAATAACAAGATTTTTTTTATTATTTAACAACTTTCATTGCAAATGTAAACAAATACCATCTATCTCAGCTCTTCACTTTCAAAGCTGGGTATGTTTGTAATGTTTTTGATGCTACTTTTGATACTACACTAAGGGTCAAGTTGATTATGTCGTTATTCCAAGAACTTACTGTTAGGAATCTGGCTGGTTTAAGCCGTCTAACTTGAATTAGCCGTATGTGTGGTATTGTTATGCCAAGTTATTTTAATAGGCATCAAGCTACTGTAATACGACTTCATATTTGTTGTAATTTCCAGTGGTGGATCCAGGAATACGAAATATAGAAGGGCCCCGGAAGGGTACTTTCACAGATAGAAAATCTATACTACCTCAGCCCCACTATGGTTGGGGCTGAGGTAAGAAAATTTGTGATTGACGGAAATTGCACTTCCAGACATAAAAATTGAATATAATTATCTTTATATCACTATTTTTGTATGAACAATTTAGCGGTGGGGGCGGGCCGGCTGGGTCACCTTGATTTCGCCACTGGGTACTTTAGCAGATGGAGGATCTATACCACCATGGTTGGGG